CATTACATCACTGCATCTCGGAAGCCTGATGATCTGTCTGTCCTTACAGGGCTCCACTCTCCCCCTCTTTCCCCCTGCTCTGGCCTCTGCCTCCCTGCCTCCCTGCCTCCAGGCCAGACCAGAGCAGCTGGCTGTCATGTAGCACTAGCCGCCAGGCCCCTTTCTCTTGGAGGCTGCCCACTGCCTGCAGGAGGCCGTCCTGCCTTGGCTCTAACATTCGAGGAGGAAGCCCCTGGGAGTCACCAGCAGTAGCTCCAGTCATCTGGTTCCTGGCCTTGCTCACCTACCACAAGCTTCTCTCCCAAGACAGCATCTCAGAAACCTGAAAAACCTGCAGCAGGTGAGCTGGGGAGGAAGAACTGGGGGCCACTGGGTGAAGACTGCAGCGCTAACGCTGTTATCTCTCTCTCTCTCTCTCTCTCTCTCTCTCTCTCTCTCTCTCTCTCTCTCTCTCTCTCTCTCTCTCTCTCCTTGGCAGTGGCAGGGAAGGCATTCCGCAGGGCAGGTGACATTCCGCTCTGCCTACCGGGGAGGATGCCACAGTGGGCAGAGGCTTGGCCCTGGCTGCTTCCAGGAGGAGTCAGCCAAGGCCACGGGCACTGAGCTGCCTGACTGCTCTTCCTTCAGCCAGGGCTCAGGGTAAGGTGCAGTGGGAGGGCACAGTGGCCCAGAGGCAGTTATAGGGACCCAGAGGACACTTTGCTGCTAACCCTCACAAGCACAGGTGGCCAATGGGGGCTGTTTTTAGCGGGTCCATAGGGTGCCTTTCAGAAATTTGAATCAACATTGGGAAATCTGGAGAGTTCACAAAAAATTTAATGTCTAGATTCTCTTGGCAGTAAGAGGATCACTGCCCCAAGCCCACACTCCCACCAGGTCACCATGAGAAGCCAGGTAAGGGTCTCTGCTCTGCCCTGCCAGCTGGTGAGGCCAGGCAGAGGCCATGTGCTGCTGCATTCTCCTTGCTGCTCTTCTTCTAGCAAAGACAGACTCTGTGCACATCTATGTCAAAAGCAGGGAAACAAAAGCCAGGCGAAGGGTGGTGTAATTTTTCTTTGGCCCCTGGGGCCATCCTCATTGGCACTGCCTGTGGGCCCTGCAGGCTTCTGAACCTGCAGTCCATGTCTTGGGATGGCAGGGCTTTCTGAAAAGTCACTGTGTGCCTGACAGAGAGACCACGTGCCCAACACAGAACCCAGGGATCTTTTCCTCCCCAAGTTCAAAGTCCCTCCCGCATGACAGCCAGGCATTTGGAGGCAACAGTCTACTCTGTGCACATGACCTTGGGATCAGCCTAACCACAGCACAACCCAATCACAGCCCAGCCCAGCCCAGCCTCTCTGGGCACCACAGCCTGGATGAGGGTCCAGCAGAGGCGGAAGGCCAAGCAGCCTGCCTAGGCTATGTCTGAGCATTATCCCGAGAAGTGAGCGAGGCCTCAAGCATCACTCCTGACAGATGTGTACCCCTTCACTGCATGGCCACCCTACAGGGGAGTATTGATTCATTTCCTGTGTAAGCTGAATGGTGGCCCTCCAAGATATAAGGCCCCTATTCTTGGGACCTATGAATGCTACCATATATGACAAAAAAAGGACTTTGTAGATATAGTTAGATTATGGATATCGCCCTGTATGGTCTGGGTGGATGCAATCACATGCATTCTGACAGCAGGGAGATTCACACATACACACACACACACACACACACACACACACACACACACAGAGAGAGAGAAGAGGAGGAGGCAATGTGGCCACAAGACAGAGATGTGGCCACAAGCCAAGGGATGCCAGCAACCACCAGAAGCTGGGAATGATGAGGCATGGATTCCTCCAAAGGACCCCTGGAAGGAGCGAGGCTCTGCCAACATCTTGATTTCAGCCCAGTAACATTCATTTCAAACTTCTGCCCTTCAGAGCTGCGAGAGAATAAACTGCTGCTGTTTGAAACCACCCGGTTGGTGGTGGCATGTTGAAGTAGCCTGAGACTAGGAGGGCAGTGATATGCCAGATCAATAGGCGAGGGCTTCTTTCCCCACCTACCAGCCCATGGCTTCCCCTCAACAACCCCAGACAATAGGTTGACAGGTGGCAACTGGGGCAGGGCTCAGGCAGGAGCACAGAACTCGGAGTGGACCCCTGAGCAAGTATATGGGCAGGTACACACACACACACACACACACACACACACACCAGAGATGCCAATGTTATATAGCACCCCTAACCCCAACATACTGCCCTGGGGCACAGGGCTGGCTCTGGGGGAGACAGAGAATGGCACTTCCGGTGTTGAGAAAGGCCCCTCCCCTAAAGGCTCCCTGGCCTATAGTTCTGCCCTCCTGCCCTGGCTAGGCGCTGGAACTCAGTGGAGTGCAGCAGAGCAGCTTTTGCCACACCTGCAAGGCCAGTGAGGATGGAGGAGTCCTCTCCCCTTTCCTCAGCCCCCTGTTCGCCTAGCCCCTCCCTTTCAGGACCCAAGAATGACCCTGGTGGCACTAAGCTGTGAAGTGCACATTCCGCGTTGGCTTGGTCCTTGAAGACATGTTAAGACCTTCATTTCCCACCTGTTTCTGTGGGCAACCAACCTCAGGGGATGGAGATTATTAGTAAGGCCTTGAGACACCCCAGGAAGCCTGCTGGCTGCTCAGGGAAATCAGGGCAATGCATCTCGGCATGCTGGAGGAGCCATGGGAAACATACCCACCCCGCCCCACCTCCAGCCAGACCAGCAGGTCCAGGGACTCATCCCACCCACTGCCCATAGATAAATGGGTGAGGTCAGGGTTTAAATGTGCTTCCAGGAGTAGCTGAGGGGAATGGGGCGCGGGGGTTGGAAGCTTCCTGCTGCTTTAGGCAGAGCTACATTGGTGTCAGGGTCCCCACCAGAATTCACCAGGAGAAAGAATCCCCTACCGGGCACGTACACAGAGGTTCTGGGCTCCATATTCTCTTGCATTATAGGGGAAGGAGCAAATGTACCCAGCCAAAGACACTGGTTTCCATTTGTCCCAGCTGTACTACTGTGTGGGCCCTAACTGGGCCCAGGCTGATGGGGAGCGGGTCCAAACCATCTGATGTTACCCGGGCCCTTAGCCCAGCCCAACATAACATGCATCTGACACCCTCTAGCCAGTGAATAAGTCTCAGCTCTAGGCCAAGTGTGAACGGTTAAGCACATTTAGGGAGAAATATGCTTTCTGTCCACCAAGTCACCCACACAAGGTCATGCTGACATTGGGCAGGGACATAAAGGAAAAGGGAGTTGCCCTAGATCTGTGGCCTACAGCCTACACACCCATAGCCCAGGGCTGAGGCCCAGAGCTCAGTCTGGGACAGGCTCCCCCTGCCCCCTTCCAGCACAGCCTCACCCCGCAAATGGGGCAATTAGCCTTTCCCAGCCAGCATCTTCAAAGCCAGTGGTTTCTGGGCTTATTTTGAGTTTGAAGTTTCTTAAGTTCTGCATTCCAAGCTCTCACCAAAGTAGGTGGATAGGGGAGAGGGAAAGGGGAAGATACAACAGAAGATGCCCAAAGACCAACAGAAGCACAGCCTATAATACAAGGCCAGCCAGGCCACGGGGGAGGGCTGTCATGTTCAGGACGACAAGCACCACATGGAATGTGGGATTGGAAACTCACCCAAGGCACCTGGCAGCCCCTCACCTAGTATGAGCCAGATTCCAGGCACCACCACCCAGAAGCCCAGGTCCAAAGTACAAAGCTGCAGATCCTCAGCTCTTTGAGATACAGGCTTTTCTAGCCCCATGGGACAGATGGGAAGACAGAGGCCCAAACTTGCCCGGGAGCAGAAGGCCGTCAAGGAGCAAGGCCAGGGTCTTGGTGGTCCCTGGTCTGAGGTACCTCCTGGGCCCCATTATCCCTCCCAGCCACACCCTACGGGGTCCTTCTTCATTCCTCTCCCTGCAGAGAAGCTCAAGGGCGAGAAGGAGGCAGGAGGGGCTGAGGCTGGGGGAAGTGGGGCAGCCAGGCACTGCTGTTCACAGCCCAGCAGAGAGCGATTTATCACCGGGACCCGGGGACCACCGGAGTATTGATCGGCTCCAGACAGTGCTAGGCTTCCCGAGGGAGCAATTTCTTTGCAAAGATATGTTGACACCACTTCTTGGAATTAGAACGGTGCCCTGCCGGGCTGCACCCAATTTATCTGTCAAGCTGGGAAGTCACAGACCTAAGATAAATGAGCCAGGACTGCTAGGGGGTGAGGAGAGTCTCTGCAAATCGCAGCCCAGGCGGGCTAGCCCGGCGGGGCCTCTGGGGCTCACTTTAACATGCATGTGCCTGCCCCAAGACCCTGGCCTCTGTGCCTGCTGCCACCTGCCACCTGCCAGGGATCTAGGACCTCTGGCTCAGGCCTGGCCTCACTGTAATCCATGACCTGAGACCCTGAAAATGCTGGAAAGGTTTGGGCTGGTCAGTGAGTCTGGCCTCCTGGAGGGCTCGGAGGGGCTGTCATCATGCCTGCCCCACAGCTCCTTCCACACTCCTAGGCCCAGAAGGTACTAAGTTGAAAAAGACAAAATCATGTAAATCTGCACTGAGGCTGCTGGGAGGAGCCCCGGGCCTTTGTGGTGCACTTCCCTCTCCTTGCAATCCCACATTTCTCTGAAACCAGCCAGGAGGAGCAGCCACCCTGGCAGGGAAAGTGGACAGCAAACAGGCGGGGGACAGAGGCTGTTTGGGGCAGCAGACACAGGGCCACAGACATGGGTTCAGGATGTGGGCCTCCTTTGCTTCCTGACCCAGGCAAGCCCTTGGGCAGAAAAAGGAGGACCTGAGGCAGCTTTTGCTGTCCTTTATGGAGGCCCAGACCTGCAGGTGGTGGCCAGATACACCCAGAACAGAGGGCTCTGTTCCTGTACCTCCTCCTCCCCACTCGCAGGGCTCAGCCTGGGACCAGGCCTGAGGAAGGGGTGCCTGGGCCCTTAAGGGTGGACATCCAGGGCTTACCACACAGCCTGCCCACCCGCAGCAGCCTTACCTGTGTCCAGGGCCTGAGGCACCCCGAGAGAAGGGAGCTTGGGGTTGGATGGCCGGCGATATATCACATGCACACGACCCTGCTCAGCCTCCTTCGCTGCCAGCCCCTTCTCCAGGGGCTCGATAAAGAACTCCTCCTCCTCCATTCGGATCAGGCCAGCCTGCAGGGCAAAGACGAGATGGTTCAGATTCCCAGAGCAAGACAGACAAGGTGGGGGAGCAGCGAGGAGGGTCCCAGAGTGCAGAATCTCCCACCTGACAGAGCGAGGTGCTGGGCTGGGCTGGGAAGGTCATGGATGGGCCTTCGGGGCACCATTAACCAGAGTCTTCACTTCTAGTCACTAAGGCCAGAGCTGCTGGACCGTGCTGAGCCCTGGCTGGGGAAGGGACTCCACCTATGTCATTCCCATCCCCATCTTCCAACCTGGGGCTTGTTAGCCTAAACTGTTGAAAATAGCCTGAAGGAACTGAAGTACACCATGAGCCTCTGTGTGGCCCCAGGGGGACACCAAGATGCACCAAATATGGACCAGTGCTACCTCACCCTCAGGAGCCCCAAGTCCAAGATAAAGATAAAAACTATCAGCCAGGGCTGACTCTGCCCACAGAACTGCTCAGTTTACCCCAAACAGTGTTTTTTTCAAAGTTGTGAACCCAATACTCGAAATGATCAGATTTCATGTTTCAAAATTGGAATTCCAGCTTTCCTTGGAAAATGCAGGCTCAAACCACAGTGGGCTTCCCATTGCCTGGCTGGGGGTACCATGTATCCTTGCACCTCACTGTATATTCCTTTATCCACATCGGTCATCAGCCCAGACTCTACAGCAACCGAACTGTTGCCTCTTTATAAGGCCACCCTGGTGCTTCTTTCTGGACCTGTCTCCATCAGGATTCAGGCTGCACTGCAATCCAACATCCAAGGCTCTCTGCCTGCCTTCCCTGCCCCAGCTCACACATGCCACACCAGACTCGGGGACAGGTCGGCCTTCCTACATGGTGTGCATAGACATGCCTTCCTGCCCCTGAATGGACCTGCCCTCAGCTTGGCCATCAGGTAAACTCTGATTCTCCCCCCAATAACTGGCTCAGAACCCCTCAACCACCACCTCCATATGGCCCTGCCCTCCCCTTGACCATGGTTGGTCACAGCCCCAAAGTGTCCAGCTTCCACACTTTCATATTTTTGGTCCAGTATCTATAAACCAGTGGTTTCACATGGGGTCCCCCACTGTGTCAACCTGCAAGTATATTTCCTTTAGATCACATAATTAATACTCATTGTGGGGTGTGCTTTGCTGTTTAAAAACTACTTTACTGAGGTATTATCAACATGTGAAAAGCTGCGCATGTTTAAAGTATGTAACTCCATGAGTTTGGGAATCAGTATACACTTGTGAAACCATCACCACAATCAAGACCATAAGCATATCCATTACCTCTCAAAGTTTCCTCCCATCCCCTTTATTATTACCATAAAAAAATTCTTCACTCAAGAATATTTTTTTCCATTGGTTTTTAGAGAGTGGAAGGAAGGCAGGGAGAAAGACAGCGAGAGCGAGAGCGAGAGCGAGAGCGAGAGCGAGAGCGAGAGAGAGAGAGAGAGAGAGAGAGAGAGAGAGAGAGAGAGAGATTGGTTGCCTCATGCACACACCCGAAGCAGGATTGGGGGATCAAATCTGCAAGCCCTTAAGCAGGAATAAAACCTTCGTCCTTTTGCTGTGAGAGCCAACATTCTAACCACTGAGCATTACTGACCAGGGCCATTTTTTTATGTTACGAACACAACAGAAAATTAATTCTTGCAGTTGATTTTAGGCATACAATAGAGTGTTGTTAGCTATGGGCATTATGCTGTGCAGTGGATTTCCAGAACTTATCTATCTTGCATAACTGAAATTTTATACACTATGACCATTAATTCCCATGTCCCCCTCCCCCAGCCTCTGGCAATCACTATTCTACTCTGCTTCTATGAGTTTGGCTGTTTTATATTTTATATACATACTAGAGGCCCAGTGCATGAATTTGTGTACCAGTGGGGTCCCTTGGCCTGGCCTGCGGAATCAGGCTGAAACCTGCTCTCTGACATCCTGAGGGGTCCTGGATTGCAAGAGGGTGCAGGCCAGCCTTACTCGCAGCATGCAGTTGTTGGTGTCACTACATGAGAGGGCTGGCAGCAAAGGCGCGGCTAGCTTTCTTGTTTGGGAGGAAAGTGAAACCTCCACTGCACTGAAATCCAGCTCTAGGTGAGACTTTCAGTACCAGACTCATTCAGGGAGAAATTGGACTGTCTGGCAGTAAGCGAAACTCGAGAGCAGCCTTCTCTCAGAGGTGCATGCAGCCATTGCCACAGGACACTGAGAAAAGGGCCCTCTTAGGGTGAGGCTGACAGGAAACCAAGGCTTATCTGTTCCAACTTGAGACTCCGCCCCACCTAAGCTGAGCACAGAAGCCCTCTCAGTGGCTAACTTTCTTGTTTGGGAGAAAAACAAAACCTCTCGACTACACTGAAATCCAGCTCCAGGTGAGACTTTCGGTACCAGACTCATTCGGGAGAAACTGGACTGTCTGGAAGTGGGCGAAACTCAAGAGCAGCCTTCTCTCAGAGGTGCGTGCAGCTATTGTCATAGGGCACTGAGAACAGGGCCCTCTTGGAGTGGGGCTGACAGGAAAACAAGGCTTGTCTGCTCCACCCTGAGACTCCTCCCCATCCAAGCTGAGCACAGAAGCCCTCCCAGCAGAAACACTGCTGCTCATCACAGCTGATTAGCTTGGAGGTCAACTCCTCCCTGTGATACCAACAACAATCAAGGCTTAACTACAACAAGACTGTACATTCAGCCCACAAAGAGTGTCCCACTTGAGGTAACTGGGGAAGCTGAGCTACTGGGCCCTGCTAAGACACCTAGCACTAAAGCAACTCCATCAACCCAGGGAAGCAGCTAAAATGTGGAGACAAGGAGGCATGCCACAATTGAAGGAAATGGAGGAAAGCAAAAGACTGGATATAGAGTTCAAAACCACGGTTATAAGGTTTTGCAAGAATTTCCTAGAAAAGGCTGATAAATTTAATGAGACCCTTGAGGATATAAAAAAGGATCAACTAGAAATTAAGCATATACTGACTGAAAAAAAAATTATACAGAGACCTAAAGGTAGACTAGAGGATTACAAGAATCAAGTCAAAGATTTGGAATACCAAAAATCAAAAAACATTCCTCCAAAAAATCAAAAAGAATCCAAAAAGTTGAAGATAGTGTAAGAAACCTCTGGGACAACTTCAAGCATACCAACATCAGAATTATGGGGGTCCCAGAAGAAGAGAGAGAGCAAGATACTGAAAACCTATTTGAAGAAATAGTGACAGAAAACGTCCCCCACCTGGTGAAAGAAATAGACTTACAAATCCAGGAAGCACACAGAACTCCAAACAAAAGGAATCCTAAGAGGACCACACCAAGACACATCATAATTAAAATTCCAAGAGCAAAGACAAAGAGAAAATATTAAAAGCAGCAAGAGAAAAAACAGTTAGTTACCTCTAAGGGAGCACCCATACAATTGTCAGGTGATTTCTCAACAGAAACTATGCAGCCTGATGGGAATGGCAAGAAATATTCAAAGTGATGAATAGCAAGAAACTATAACCAAGATTACTCTACCCAGAAAAACTATCATTCAGAATTGAAGGTCAGATAAAGAGCTTCACGGATAAGAAAAAGCAAAAGGAGTTCAGCACTGCCAAAACAGAATTATATGAAATGCTGAAAGGTATTCTTTAAGAAAAGGAAGAAGAAAAAGATAAAGATAAAAAATATGAACAACAAATACGTAACTATCAACAAGTGAATCTAAAAACCAAGGAAATAAAAAATCTGATGAACAGTATTAACTTGTGAATATAATAGAATCAGGGGCAAAGAAAGGGAGTGGACTGACAATTCTAGAGGGAAAAGGGAAGTGGGGGTGCGAAAAGAGACTGAACAAAAAGAGTACACCTATGAATGAGGACAGTGGGGTGGGGGAGCAGAGAGTGGGGTAGGAACTTGGTGGAAGGGAGCTATGGGGGGAAAAAGAGGGACAATTGTAATAATCTGAACAATAAAGATTTATTAAATTAAAAAATAACCAGCTCTTAATTTCATTGATCTTTTGTCTTTTTGGTTTCTATTTCATTTATTTCTGCTCTGATCTTTGTTAAGTCCCTCTATCTTCTAATTCTGCACATAATGTATTCTTTTTCTAGCTTCTTTATATATATATATATATATATATATATATAATGATATATATATATAATGATATATATATATTACTTATTTGAAAAGTCTTTTTTATTGTAGACATTTATTGCTATAAATTTCCTTGTTAGAATTGCTTTTTCAGTATCACATAAGTTTTGGTATACTGTTTCAATTTTAGTTTGTTTTAAGATATTTTTTATTTACCTTTTGATTTCTTTTTTGACTCATAGGTTGTTCAGGAGTATGTTAATTTCCACAGATTTGTGAATTTTTTGGTTTTCTTTCTGCTATTGATTTCTAATTTCATACCTTTATAGTAAAAGATGATAACTGGTGTGATTTTATTCTGTTACATTTGCTACTTTTTTTTCCCCTTTCCATATATACTTGAAGAGAATGTGTATTCTGCTGCTATTGGATGGAATACTCTTTTAGGGTAATTTGGACTAACGCTCAGTTCAAATCCAATGTTTCCTTATTGATTATCTGTCTGAATGATCTATCTATTGTTAAAAGTGGGACACAGAAGTCTCTCACTGTTATTGTATTCTTATTTGTTTCTCTCTTCAGATCTGTAAGTATTTGATTAATGTATTTAGGTGCTCTGATGTTGGGTGCATATATATTTACAATTATTATTATTCTCTTTATTAATTGACCTCTTTATGATTGCATAATGACTTGATGGTTTCTTGCTACAGATTTTGAAGTTAATTTTGTCTGACATAAGTTTAGCTACCCTTATTCTCTTTTGATTCCCATTCAGGTGGAATACTTTTTTCCATCTCTTCACTTTGAGTCAATTTGTATCCTTATATGCAGTGAATCTCTTATATGCAGCATATAGTTAGAGTTTGTGTTTTATTCATTCAGTCATTCTACACTTTCGACTGAAAACTTAACCTATTTACATT